CCGCGGCGGGGGGCGGGGAGGAGGAGGCGGCCTTCAGCGGGAGGCTCCGGAGACGCCGCGCGCAGGCGCACGCCTCTGCCTCTGTAGCCCTTGCCACCCGGCAGCCGGGCAGAGTGCTCACTGCGCATGCGCAGTGGGCGAAGGCGCTGGCCTTTCCCTTAGTTGACATGGTGGCTACGGCCTCTTTCCAGAATTCGGGCCCACACATCCCGTGAAATTAAGAGACGTGCAATTATCCTCTCGCAAGGCTTCATTTCCCTGCTTTTCCTCTACTGTTTTCGTTCGGCAAACGTTAGTCTGCCGTCCACATCTGGATACGTAACAACGTTCGACTGCTGTTTGACGGGGTAAAGGAAGCCCTTTGACACTCACGCGAAATGTCACTTGACAGGGGGCAAAGGTGACAATCACTGTAGGAAATCTCGTCTCAAATCCCCTTTAAAGTGCCCTCCCATTGAAGGAAAACGAGGCGGGAAGGGCGCTATTCGAATTTAACTTATTTCTTAACCCCTAACTTTAAAGGAAAAAACGAAAAAAAAACCCTTCGCGGAACCTCGGCTTGGTCTCCTTCCTCGGCCCGCCCCTTCCGCTGCGCATGCGGCAGAATGCCCTGCTGATTGGCTAGTGTCATGAGCCCGACGGGGCGCGATGATTGGTCGGTGGGAAGTTCTTCGTGTTGTGACTGGTCTGCGGGGGCGGCTCGGGGCGCGCGCGGGAGCGAGCTTTGAAAGTTGACCACGGAGCCGGCGAGCGGGTTTCCTGGTGATCATGGTGGCGCTGCCGGGCCTCGGGAGCGGCCTGCAGCCCTGGTGCCCGCTGGATCTCAGCCTAGGTGAGGAGACGCGGCCTCGAGAATCGGGGAGGCAGGGCGGTGGTGTTCGGCGCCCGTGATGCTCTCCAGCCTAGGCCTGGGGTGGCCTGGGGTGGAGGTGGGGCGTTTGGCTCTGCAAGGTCTGGGCCCTGCAGATCTGCACTCTTGGCGAGCCGGGTTTAGAACAGAGCTAAAAATAGAATTACGCATAAAAAAAAGTAATAATAAAGAGATTATGTTGCCGGATATCGTTTAGTTCTTTTGCATCTGTTTTCTCGGCCTTCCCCTTCTTATTCTGCAAATCTGCACGCTAGGACCCCCTTGGAAGACTCAAATGTGACCTGTCAGGTCTTTCAACCTTTCATGTTTCCCCTGGTTTCCTTAATAAATGACCGAATCCCGGGCCTGCCATAGGAGAGCCTTCACTCTTCCCCGCAGTCTTTCCCAATCATGTTATCTTTGGAGTCAGAGGTAACAGGGCTTGGTCTCTTGGCTCCACTGCTTAGCATCCGCCCAGCAAGTTGCTTAACCTTGCTGAGCCGTGGTTTCCCCATCTGTCAAATGGGGACGTCATCTCTACCTCCTAGGGGTTTGTGAAGGTTAGTTAGTACCTCGTCCTGCTCAAAAACAAAAAACAACAACAACTAATAACTCTCACCCTTCACATTTCATCTCTGCGCCGGAGCTATTTTGTTCATTTTCAATCAGGTTCTACTTTCTTCCCCTGTGTGCTGTTCTGCAGTTCTCTCTGCCTGGGATGCTCTTCTCTGCTTTTCTTTTCCTGGTAAACGTCCATGTTTAGGTCCAAATAAAGAAGAATCATCCTTCCCACCTCTTCCCCTCCCCATCTCCCAGGAATAGTTTCTGTTGTGCTTTCTAGTATTTTACATGTCTGTTCCTGTTTTAACACTCATCCATTGTAAAACATAAAATAAAATAAAATAGTAATAACTATTGTTCCTGTCACCAGGTCTTTTCTAATGGGGACTTGGTAGCTGTGATCCAGAAATGAGGTCAGAAATACAGGTGTGCATCTATAAAAGCCTGAGATACCGAACCACTGGTCGACCGGTTGCTATGACGTGCACTGACCACCAGGGGGCAGACACTCAACACAGGAGCTGCCCCCTGGTGGTCAGTGTGCTCCCACAGCCAACCTCCCTCTGTCCCTCCCCCTGGCGGGCTGGGCCCCTGACTCCCGCCTCCCCATCAGCCCCGATCGCTGGCCAGGCCGAGGGACCCCACCTCTGTCAGTGTGTTTTGAAATCACTGAATATTTCTCTGAGTGTGGATCTGCTTGCCTCCTCTAGTTTAAACTTCTTGGGGAAATTGTATCTTTTTTTTTTAACATGCTAATTATCCTCCAAGGGCCCAATAAAGAATTTTATTTAGGCTTATTAACATAGTTATAAGGTTTTCACAAAGGGGCATCTGGAGCCCTCTTTGATTAACTTCTTTCTTCTCCAGATTGAATGTATGGGAAAGCTGGATCTCGAAGTGTTTTGAAGTTTCATTCCCCCTGACCGTTTTATGTAAAAAGCATTTTTCTCCTTGATATTTTTAGAAGATAACCAACCTAATAACCAGATGTCAGTTATAATTAAAAAAAAAAAAAAGATTTTCTCCACTTTTTCTGCTCTCCTTTAACTATGCTTATATGATTGTATAATTAAAGGTGAGTTGTGCCTAATAAACTTTTCTCTTCTTGAATCTCCCTAGAGTCCAAAAATGATAGGTTTCTTACTTGCTGCAGAGCACTTACTGGTTTCATTGCATTTTCCTACCAGAATGGGTGGAAACAGTGTGGGAACTGGACTTCACGGAGACTGAGCCTTTGGATCCCAGCATAGAGGCAGAAATTATCGAGACTGGATTGGATGCATTCACAAAACTCCACGAAAGTCTTTTACGCTTTGCTACGGAAGAACATGGATCTACAGAGGTAAAAATTTTTAAAAAAGGAAAGAAAGGAAAATCAAGCTAGCCACCTTTAGGTTATTAAAAATTAGAAGTAGACTATTAAAAGTCATTATTATCATCTTTTTAGTGAACAGTTCATAAGGAATATCAGAGGAGTAGCATAAGGAATGTGAATCATTTACTGGACTATCCTAATAGCTTTTTTCCAGAAGGTTCAGGTATTAATCTGTGATATTTTTTCAAGTCATGACTTAAAAAAAAATTTTTTTCTTTTTATTTACTGATTTTAGAGAGAGAAAGGAAGTGGGGGAGAGAGACATTGATTTGTTGGTCCACTTATGTATACATTCATTGGTTGATTCTTGAGCGGAGATTGAACACACAACCTTGGCGTACCAGGACGATGCTCTAATCAGCTGAGCTACCCGGCCAGGGCTTTAAGTCATGACTTTTTCTAACAACAAATTAGAGGAAAAGAACATAGGCCAAAACAGGGGGGGTAGAGGGGGAGGTGGCGGGGTGGAGTGGGGACAGGTTAAACCAAATATAAAACGAAGGCCAAGGAAAATGCAATAACAATTTCAGTATGCCTTCACTTTAAGAAAATCTGATATTATAAATGGAGTAGTTAATTTAATTCAGTTGGAAAGGAGAGTTCCTTTATTTTTATTTTATTTTTTCTGAGAGTTCCTTTAAATATTGAGTTCTACCTAGTGTGTTTATTAGTATTTAGCTCATTGATTGCTTTTCAGAAGACTGAAGGGCTAGGTGCCAGAACAAAATGTACCCAATTCTAATTCCTAGCTGAGGAAATCAGAGCAATTTATTTCAATTTAAATGTACATTGATGAATTAGAATGATTGATGAATTTGGGTACAAGGGGTAAGTTGTCTGAGTAATCACTACTATAGGTTGTCTGAAAAGTCTTAGTTTTTAACTGTAATAATTTTAGAAATTTATATGCTTCAAACCTAGCAGACTTTTTTTTAAGTTTAATTATTTAAATCTCATATACTTATTTACCTTTGTAATTTTCAATAATGCATTTTTAATTTTTTGTTTTAGTCCTTTGAAGATGGCACATGTTTATAATTAGGAGCCAGACTGGTCTATTCCCCTCTATTAAGGCACTAAGTAGTTATTAAAATCAAATGATAGGAGATTTTTACGTTTCTGTAATTATTGGCTTTTGTGATTTATTCCTCCCCCCAGATCTTTTGGACCTTCTTCGCTGAGAACAACATTTCTCACCGTGCGCTGGTGGCTTTAATCTTTGTAATTTTTAATAATGCATTTTTAATTTTTTGTTTTAGTCCTTTGAAGATGGCACATGTTTATAATTAGGAGCCAGACTGGTCTATTCCCCTCTATTAAGGCACTAAGTAGTTATTAAAATCAAATGATAGGAGATTTTTACGTTTCTGTAATTATTGGCTTTTGTGATTTATTCCTCCCCCCAGATCTTTTGGACCTTCTTCGCTGAGAACAACATTTCTCACCGTGCGCTGGTGGCTTTATTCTATCACTTTGTTCAAACAGTCCATAAGAAAAACGTCGGGGTGCAGTATCGAGAATATGGCCTTCACGCCGCTGGTCTTTATTTTCTGCTACTAGAAGTTCCAGGTACGTAATTTGACATGATAGGACATATCTTTTGTCATTTAAGGTTTTTCTACATTGTTTTGAGCTTTTTTTTTTTTAACCCACACATGAGGATATGTTTTAATTTATTTTGAGACAGAGAGGAAGGGAGAGAGAGAAAAACATTGATGTGAGAGAGAAACATCGATTGATTGCCTCTTGTACTCGCCCCAACTGGGGATCAAACCCACAAGCTGGGCATGTGCCCTGACTGGGAATCGAACCTGCCACTTTTGGGTGTAATGGACGATGCTCTGACCAATATTATGCTGTGTCGATAACCTGATAGGAATAATCCGAGAGGGCTAAGGCTCGAGGGGGAATGTTTCCAGGCTACAGGGCCTCCACTCCACCCAGCCCCACCTCGGATAAAATTCTGTTATTTCCCCCGACTCCCTGTCCACACTGAGAAAAACTGCTGCGGGCATCTTTGTGTTATATCTCTCCTATGTGCTGTGGAAAGCAGGTTTACACCATTCTAACTAAGAAAGCATGAGAAGAGTAGCTAGTAATGCTTGAGGAGGAAAGCCCAGGAAAGGAATCTAATTAAGAGCTTGTTCCACTTCCTTTATTGTCGGAACACTGAGGTGGCTGTTCCTCCTCCCTATCGTAACTCAGAGCAAAAGAGGGCTGAACACAGAGGGGGATGTAGCCGGAGAACGCAACGGTGATATAATGAAGAAAATCACAGCATTGGTCAGCTTTACCCCTCGTCATTGTTTACATAAGTGCATTTGCAATAAATGTTAAGGATTTATTCTCTATGATTTGAAAAATTGATTAAAGGATACATAAAGCCTTGAATGCTAATTTGTATTTTTTTTTTGATTTTTTGTTTGTTTGTTTTTTTCATTTTTCTAAGTTTTATTGCTTTGTGACAAATTAGCACAAACTGAGCCATTTTTCATACATAACTTTATTATCTCAGTTTCTGAAAGTCCAGGCACAATGCGGCTGGACTCTGCTGGGGTCACACGGCTGATATCGAGGTGTCAGCCCCAGCAGGTGCTCCTCTGGGGCTCAGTGTCTTCTTCTGAACTCAGTTGTTGGAAGAACTTGTTTCTTTGTGGTTGTAGGACCGAGGGCCCCTTTCTTGCTGCCTGTTAGCCAGGGAGCTCTCAGCTCCTAGAGGACACCCACTCTGCTTGCCACGTGGCCCCTCCAGCAATGGAGACTCTACGCGGGTTGAATCCTCCTCTCATTTTGATTTCCAGTCCTGTCTCTGACTTCCACACTCAGGTTTAAAGAGCTCAATGGATTAGATCAGGCCTATCAGGAGGGTTTCCCTCTCTTAAGGTCTATGCTTTGGGACTTAAATTACATCTGCAAAATCCCTGCAGAGTAGGACTTAAATTAGTGTGCGATTGGATAATAGTATTTAAGTATGTTTTAATATCAGTTATTGGTGGACTCACTTGATCCTTTTGCAACTTGCTTTAGTGCAGATTTTAAAGTAGCTTTTACTCTAGAGCTGATGTAGCCTTGTTTTTAGGTGTGTGGCTTGCCAAGGTCTCTATTGGGATTAACAAGGTGTCTCTATTGTGCTGGCCAGGCTCAAAGGTGTATCAGCCCTGTGTGAGCTCTGAAAATTATTCCTCTTCTGACTTCCTTGGAAATTGTTGTTTGCTCACTATTTACAGTTTACCCCTGCATGCATAGCTTGTAATCAGCCCTATGCAGATTGCTGGAGCTCTTTTTCTATGTAGCTTCCTCTTCTCCATTATTCTGTCCCATAAATCCCAGCTGCCTCTGCCTTTCTGACTTGATTTCTGTAGTCTCACTTAGTGAGACCATAATAATGTGCCTGGGTTCACCGTTTTTCTGCTGCTGTCCAGAAATTGCCTCAAAATACAAAAACGGGGGCAATTTTAGGGCCTACTTCATTTGTTTCCCTTATCTCGGGAATTTTATTTCTATGCTGTGTCTTGCTCCACGTCTTAAAATGATTATTTTAACATTTTTTGGTCTAGTTTTATAGTTCACAGTTAGGAAGACAGGAATAAAACCAGTTACTCCCTCATGGCTAAATACAGATAGAAATCTTGTTATTTATTTCTGATCAGCACTTTTGCTAACTTATGGCTAAAGTTAAATGGTACTTTTTTGCAAAAGTGTCATTGTTATTCAAAGTTAGTGCAAATCCCATTTTTGCTTTTGACATTTTTATCTGTTGTTACAGACATATTTGAAGACAATGAAATCTAACCTGCTTACTCTTTATTCTTTATGAATAGGCAGTGTAGCCAATCAAATATTCCACCCAGTGATGTTTGACAAATGTATACAGATTGTAAAGAAAAGTTGGCCTCAGGAATCTAACTTGAGTCGGAAAAGAAGGAAAGAACATCCGAAGAACTCTCAGACTAATCCAAGAGGGCATAGAAAGAGAGGAAAGCCACCCAGGAAAGAGGATATTGAGGTAAGAAGAGGGATAATAAAGCATATCTTCATCAACACACGATTTAAGAATTAACTTTATATTAATGTATGGTTTCAGGCATAATGATTATAATCAAATGGTCTTAAAGTATCATCAGCTCTCCAATAGGACCAAGTTGCATTTCTATTTGGCCAGCTTTCCAACCTCCCTATCATCTTTCCTCAGCCTTGTACCCAGCTGTGCTTGAGAACTTGCTAACAGGTATATTTGCCACATTATGTCATTGTCATTAGAGAGGGTAGTGAAGTATCCTGAGGACTCAGATCCATAAGAATATAGGAGAATAGCATTAATTCCAAATTCTTGTATGAGTAGGTAGGATGGTAAAGGTTCATTGATGTGAAAATGAAAACTTTTAAGACACATAAGAATCCTCATTGACACAAAACTATAGAGCCAGAAAGTATTGTCGCAGTCATCTAATCCCGTGATGTGCCATTGTGAGCCTGGAGACCTAGAGCAGTCAGGGGACCTGGTCACCTCAGCAACCCCCTGGCGTTTTACTGGATTTGATTTGAGTACATTGAAAACGGGGGGAAAGTGTTAGGCCTTATTTTACAGTCAGCTGTATATTTCTTCATAATCTAGATGGATGAAATTGTAGAAGAACAAGAAGATGAAGAAGACATCAGTTTTTCTGCCTGGGACCTTTGTCAAATTCGAAAAGCCATCTTTCATCTTTTAAAGAATTTTTTAAGGCTTCTGTCCAAGTTTTCCCTGAAAGAAAAGCCACAGTGTGTACAGAATTGTATCGAGGTGAGTGAAAATTCCAAGAAACTTGGGGCAACCTCAGAGGGCACAGCTGAGGGTAATACTTAATGAGTAAGAAAAATCAGGCTGCTTCTTGGTATCTGTTTTCTAGGTCTTTGTGGCATTAACTAATTTTGAGCCAGTTCTTCATGAATTTCATGTTACACAAGCCAGGTGAGCCATTAAATCTCCCAGCGTTAACGTTTAAACAGTATGATAACTTTTGCTCTAGGTGAAGTATGAATGTCATTTTATTCTAAGTGGCACATAGGTAAAATTTATTCATTTAAATATGGCTTATTAAATAAGGCAATATTTCAAGTAAAATCATATCCATTAACTAATCTTTGCTCTTTTTTCTTTAGCAACCTTAACCAAGCGAAGTACATACCAGAACTGGCCTATCATGGATTGTATTTGCTATGCTCCCCAATTCATGGAGGAGAAAAGGTAAAAGAGACAGGGATCTAAGTTGGTTATTGGTTAAATTGAAGCATGCAAATCGTGTAATGGAAAAACATTAGAAGCATTTGATGTAATGGCATTTCAACTTACCAGGTTATTTCCATGACCTTACTATGTTATATATCTTCTGTATAATAGGAAGTATAACCATTTCTATTGTTGTCTACTCTTCGTAACAAACCTTACATCCAAATACTTGGTGGCCAAGCAAATTATTGTCTGGTTTCATACATAAAAATGGTTCCAGTGTGAATTAGGTAAGAAGATCAGATAAGCTGCCAAAGAGAACGTTACTTTTATAGAAATATTCACCAAATTGTTCTAAAGAAAAGAATAGACAGTCAGAATTTTGTCGTTTCCCTTGGCAATTCATGTGTGCTTCAGTAATTTTATTAATATTTGTATTATTCTAGTTGGTAATTTTACAGAAATATTACTGGTTTTCATTCCTATTGGCATTCATATGTGAATTTTGCTTTCTCCACCCCACCCCCCAAGTCACCCTAACAGTATCACTACTCTAAACATTTGAGTTGGGGTCAATCAAGAGGATGGTGGAATCCAAGTATAGATGTCATTAATAAAATAAGGTTTTGTAAAAAATGTGATAGGCCAAGGTCATGTGGCTTTTGGTGTCTGTGATTCACTTAATAATTTCCAGGGGCAGTAACGTGATGGTTAAGAAGGTTTGGGGTACTTGGGGTAATGCGCATCTGTGTTCAGGTTCTGGCTCCACCACTTACTCTCTGTGTGTCCTTGTGTAAGCTACTCAGCCTTGTGAAAGCCTCAGTTTCCTCATCTGGACTAAAAAGGAATAAAAGGCTTACCTGCCTCACAGATTTGTCAGGAGGGTTAAATGAAAGAATGCCTGCCAAACGCTGAACACAATGCCTATTGTTTAAAATACATTCCATATTTTTAAATTTATTTTATTATTTCTACATGCTTGAAATATGGATGTATAGAATTCACAGTAATACTTTTAATTTCCATGCCCCTTTTAACATTTAAAAAATAGAATGGATGGAAAAATCTATCCTTTTAGGTCCACAGTGTCTCTAAAGATGCAGGGATTTTTAACTGTGGAAGAACTGACTTGATGTTGGACAACTTTGGTTTTAGCCAGGCCTTTAATTACTTGACTTTGGACAGCTTGCCTTTGGAGTCTGTTTTATTATTATAGACTAGAAACAATAATATTATATATAAAATGGGAATGCCTTGCTTACCTCCTGGAGTTGTTGTGAGGTTTAAGATTAAATGTGGTAAAATCTAGTAATATACATGAATGTGCTTAATGCCATACCCGGTACATGTTTGGTTTTTAGTAAATGTTTTATTTACTGGAGAAATGAATGAATTATCTGAGTAAATTATATGAGATGATACATGGGAAGGTCCTTTGTAAACTTCAGGTAAAACACAAGTGTGAATTTTTCCTTTTTCCCCTTGCTATAACGGGATCAGCAGCAGCTTCCTTTGCCATCTAGAAAGAGAGCATGCAGAGAGAAACTAGATGATATTCCTATCATTATCTGCAAGCAGTGTTCTCACACTGTTTCCATTGTACATTTATTGGTAATTATTTAAGAAATACATTCCTAATGGTCAGCCCAAAACCATGTCTCAAGTTGACTAATCTTTAGATGCTGCAAATTGTTGTCTGTGATCTTCAGGGATTCTCTGTTATGCCTTTAATTGAACTTTCTTTTCTCTTCTAGGTCATCGGTTGTGTTTTCCATCAAATGCTGAATGTGATATTAATGTTAGAAGTGGGTGAAGGGTCCCATCATGCCCCCCTTGCTATCACGTCATCAGTCATCAGCAGCAGAAACCAGGCAGTCCAGTTTATCAGGTGACGCACACAGCTTGGGTTGTTACTCTCTCCTCTTTATCACTTTCCCTTCATCTTCTGGGGCCCGTACGAACCAAGATTTCTGACACCTATGGGAACCAATAAATTTCTGGCCTGTTTGTGGTTTGGGGGGCCAAAATAAAGCACCTTGTAGCTCACCTGGTTCATGTGGTCGGGGTCACTGTGGTAACCCCTGCCTTCGGGCCTTGTTGAAGGGATAAGGAATCCAGTTCACCAGCCAGCACCAGCCTCCAACTGGATTGTCCCAGCTGTGAGGTCAGCCTCTGGGTGATGACAGTGGCTTCTCCTCTGCTCTCCATCGTCTGCTTCCGTATTGACCACTCCTACAAGTCTGCCGCCTCCTGTCCTTTTTCTGTTTCTCACTTCTCCAGGCCTCTTCCCGTTTGTTCCTTACCACTTTCCCCGTTTCTTTCCACTTTTCTATTCCCTTCCCCTACAGAAAATACTTTCTTGATTAAAGGAGTTAGTTGGTTTTTCCTTCTTTAGCAATAATTGATAGACTCATTTTTCCCTCACGAGACACTTAGCTTCACCTAAAAAGTTTTTTTGTTTTAGCATTATTGGGAGAGACCTATTTGCTGTCATTGGCTTTTTAACCCCCTCCCATATTGAATATTTGGTGGTGGAAATAAATTATATGAGATGATACATGGGAAGGTCCTTTGTAAACTTCAGGTAAAACACAAGTGTGAATTTTTCCTTTTTCCCCTTGCTATAACGGGATCAGCAGCAGCTTCCTTTGCCATCTAGAAAGAGAGCATGCAGAGAGAAACTAGATGATATTCCTATCATTATCTGCAAGCAGTGTTCTCACACTGTTTCCATTGTACATTTATTGGTAATTATTTAAGAAATACATTCCTAATGGTCAGCCCAAAACCATGTCTCAAGTTGACTAATCTTTAGATGCTGCAAATTGTTGTCTGTGATCTTCAGGGATTCTCTGTTATGCCTTTAATTGAACTTTCTTTTCTCTTCTAGGTCATCGGTTGTGTTTTCCATCAAATGCTGAATGTGATATTAATGTTAGAAGTGGGTGAAGGGTCCCATCATGCCCCCCTTGCTATCACGTCATCAGTCATCAGCAGCAGAAACCAGGCAGTCCAGTTTATCAGGTGACGCACACAGCTTGGGTTGTTACACTCTCCTCTTTATCACTTTCCCTTCATCTTCTGGGGCCTGTACTAACCAAGATTTCTGACACCTGTGGGAACCAATAAATTTCTGGCCTGTTTGTGGTTTGGGGGGGCCAAAATAAAGCACCTTGTAGCTCACCTGGTTCATGTGGTCGGGGTCACTGTGGTAACCCCTGCCTTCGGGTCTTGTTGAAGGGATAAGGAATCCAGTTCACCAGCCAGCACCAGCCTCCAGCTGGATTGTCCCAGCTGTGAGGTCAGCCTCTGGGTGATGACAGTGGCTTCTCCTCTGCTCTCCATCGTCTGCTTCCGTATTGACCACTCCTACAAGTCTGCCGCCTCCTGTCCTTTTTCTGTTTCTCACTTCTCCAGGCCTCTTCCCGTTTGTTCCTTACCACTTTCCCCGTTTCTTTCCACTTTTCTATTCCCTTCCCCTACAGAAAATACTTTCTTGATTAAACGAGTTAGTTGGTTTTTCCTTCTTTAGCAATAATCGATAGACTCATTTTTCCCTCACGAGACACTTAGCTTCACCTAAAAAGTTTTTTTGTTTTAGCATTATTGGGAGAGACCTATTTGCTATCATTGGCTTTTTAACCCGCTCCCATATTGAATATTTGGTGGTGGAAAAAAAGTGGTCAGTATACACCTGAGAGTGTGTACATTCACGGTACATAATGTACTTGACGATTCGAGGATGGTGGAATATATAGACTGTCATTAAATAAATAAGACGTTGTAAGTGGAAACCCTCACTTTGGCTTTTCCGTCAGAGCTCATGATGCAGAACTTGCCACTAAAAATGGGTCCAACCTGGGCATTATAGTAATTTCTTCTTGGGTTAAAGTTTAGAGAGGTACTATTACAAAGGCATTGAAGTAGCATTTCAGTGAGCTACCACGAGGTGGTACTGTGTCTTAGTCTGTTTATTCCAAAATGATGTCTTTTAGAATCTTAATAGAAAATGTACTAAGTAGTGCAATTAGTCCTATGGAGATTGCACATTTGCTCCTCCCTGACTGCCGCTGTCTACTTGGCAGCAACTCTCTACAACCAGGCCTGAGAGTAGGGGATGGGTTTCTGCTGTGGTACTTTATGTCTTTACTCTTTATTCACCGAAACAAACAGGTTGTTTTCACTATTGAGGATTTCTAACACATAGGATTAGTGGGTTTGGGGAGAGTCAAGGAAAATGACTGTTTCATTGTAATTATAGGTATATTGTAAACAGAGGATGTGCTTTTTTTTCATAGCTCACTTGTGGATGAACTAAAGGAAAGTATATTCCCAGTTCTTCGTATCTTACTCCAGCACATCTGTGCCAAGGTACCAGTGGCTTTCGTAACAATAAGAATAATTTTTAAATATGTATGAAGTTAAATGTGTGTGTTGTGTGTGTTTGTGCTTGGGAATGAGTCTGTGTCATTACTAAACATAGTTTTATTTAATATATTCACTAGCTGTTCTCCTAGACAATGTCCTTTTGGGAATAAAAAAACCTTTTAATTTTGGAAGTTTTCAAATATATAAAGAAATGAAGAGACTAGGATGGTGAGCACCTATCTTCAACAATTTTGTGTCACTTGTACCCCAAAAAGATATTACTCCTGCACACTGGATTTTTTAAAACAAATTCCATCATATTCTTTTATACATAAATATTTCTGTGTATCTCTAAAGAATAAGCATTTTTTAAGAACATAATCATAAAATACACAGTAATACTTTAAAGCCACCAAATATCCAGTTAACGTTCACATTTCTGAGATTATCTCGTAAGTTGTTATAACAATGATTCTTAACTTAAACTTGATGGATTCTAGGGGTTTATAAACTCCCTGCAATCATGTGTTAAATTTGTATTTCTGAGGAGAGGACCAACAGATTTCTTACAGGTTAGTTTTTAAAGGGGTCTGAAACCACCCTAACCGGTTTGGCTCAGTAGATGGGGCATCGGCTTGTGGACCGAAAGGTCCCAGGTTTGATTCCGGTCCGGGGCATGTACCTTGGTTGCGGGCACATTCCCAGTGGTGGGTATGCAGGAGGCAGCTGATCGATGTTTCTCTCTCATAGATGTTTCTAACTATCCCTCTCCTTTCCTCTCTGTAAGAAAATCAATAAAATATATTTTTTAAAAAGGGGGGGGGGCCGAAACCGGTTTGGCTCAGTGGATAGAGCGTCGGCCTGCGGACTGAAAGGTCCCAGGTTCGATTCCGGTCAAGGGCATGTACCTGGGTTGCGGGCACATCCCCAGTAGGAGATGTGCAGGAGGCAGCTGGTCGATGTTTCTCTCTCATCGATGTTTCTAACTCTCTATCTCTCTCCCTTGGGGGGGGGGTCTGAAACCTAAAATGTGTTGGTCATTTCTATAACACTTCAAGATCACCGAACTAGTCACAGTTACATCCACTAACTTTCCACTTGTATCACAACATGTTTCAGTTGCCAGGTGAGCAGCTTGTCAACATTTGTATTCCAGGTGGTAGATAAATCTGAGTATCGGACCTACGCAGCTCAGTCCCTGGTACAGCTGCTCAGCAAACTTCCTTGCGGGGAATATGCTACATTTATTGCCTGGCTTTACAGATATTCACGAAGCTCCAAGGTAAGAGAATACATCTGCAATGAAATCTCGGTTCTGGTTGTGCAGCCTTCTAATGACAGCCAGGTCTGAATGCATACGGGATCCTTCGGTTTTCATGACTATGTGATGGGGATTCTTATGATTTTGCTCTACCAGATCCCACACCGGGTTTTCACTCTTGATGTTGCCTTGGCTCTGTTGGAACTGCCGGAAAGAGAGGCAGATCACACACTGTCCTCGGAGCATCAGAAGTTCTTAAAGCATAAGTTCTTGGTGCAGGACATAATGTTTGACCGCTGTTTAGACAAGGCACCGACTGTCCGCAGCAAGGCATTGTCCAGTTTCGCACATTGCCTGGAGCTGTCCGCTAACAGCACATCGGAGAGCATACTGGAATTTCTGATTAACAGTAAGTGACATGGAATTGGTCTTAAGCTTGTCAAAAAATTAGACTTCAACCAAAGGACTTGTATGCATGCATATAAGCCTAACCAATGGACACAGATACGGG